TCTCATCTTGAGTGTACAAGCAATCTAACAGAAGTGCACGATCATCAGCATGCAGTGCCTGCTTAAGCAAAACATTAACTGAATCTGCATTGAGAGGCTTGCCACGAGGAGAGACTTCGTTTCTTTATTGGTTTTCAGTGGTTTCATCTTCTCCATTCTATTGAATTTAAAATTGCAAGTTTCTCAGCCATGGTAGGCTCATTTGGATCATCATTGACAAGAACTCCATCCACATTCTCTCCATGACCTATTCCAAAACCATAAACGAAATAAATATAAAGAGAAAGAATGGCAGGCTTATTTCGGCAACTATTATAGAGTTCTGATATGTATTATTTGTTTTGGTAAGTAGAGTTCTGATATCATATCCAAATATCTGACCCAAAGCCTAAAGTTAAATCCAGAAGCATGCAGCACCACTCACCAGTATTGTCTGTGCCACTTATAGTTGAAATGTCTGGAGCAGGAACAGGAGCAGCTCTTTTTCTATTTGGTTTTCCAATAGGATCAACTGCCATATACGGTTGGCAGTGAAGAAGAAGAAGCGGGATATAAAATAAGGAGAAAAAGGGGTGTTACGAGGAAAAACAAGAGAAGCGGAGCAACGAAATCGAGAAAACCGAAAAATTGATGAGTAAATGGTTCGATTTGATTTGGTTTGGTTTTAAACGGTTCAGTTTTTGATTCGGTTTAAAGGCTTCATTTTTTTGATTCGGTTCGGTTCGGGTTTTCCATATGGAACCCATTGTTCCATATTAACCGAATAGGCAATTTTTGTAAAAAAATTTAGTTCAAGTGATTTTTATTGAAAAACCGATAAATCAAACCGAAACCGAACCAAAAAACCAATTTCGGTTTTCGATTTTTTAACTATTCGGTTTCAGTTTCGGTTTAAATATTAAAAACCCTTATTTCGATTCGGTTTTGCAATGTATGGGCCTCATAGCTGGAAAAATGAAAAGAAAGGGCATATATATTATATATTATGCCTCGTAACCATATTTTACCAGTTATAATATTTAGGATATAATCGTGCATTAAGATTTAATATAGTTTTTTAATTAAAATTATTTTATTTTATTTTTATTATTGTAATAATATGTTTAAATTGAATTATAATTCATAAATTTTTTAAAAATTAAGATATAATTAAATTATTTAAAACTTAAACTTTAAATTAAATCTTAATTTAAATCTTAATTTTTAGATAAATATTAATTTAACTCATGAATTTGACAAATAGTTCCATCATCAGCTCTCACTCACCACCATCATAGGTTTGTTAACTGTCATGATCATTAAATCTCAAAATTTTGAATTCATTTTTTTTGTCTCTTAAATGATAATCTTATGTATTTTTTCATGGTTATCAAAATCGGACCGGACCGGTCAGTTCAATCGGTTGAATCGTGAATCAGTGACCTATTCGGTCCGATTACCTCACAAAACCGTCTGACAATGAATCGGTAAACCGTCTAAAAATCAGTAAAATCGGGGTGACCGGCTGAAAACCGACAAACCGGTTTGAACAACCGATCACTTTTTTCTTTTAAAAAAATTAAATCAAACGACGTCGTTTGTTCAACGAGCCAAGTCAAATTCGAGTATTGCTGAGCTCGACTCGAACTCGAAAACTTTAAAAGTAAGCTCGCTCAACTCAAAAACTCACGAGCTAAAAATTATCAAGTTCAACTCGAACTTGAAATAATATTAAAACTTGAACTCGAAAAGGCTCGAACTAAAAAAAAAAGTAGAAGTTTGATTGAAGCCTAAATTTAAGCTCAATTGAAGCGAAAGAATATTCGCTCAATGCTCACCAAAGGCTCCTTGATTTTGAATGTCAAATTATCTCTATTTTTATAGAAGTAAGTTGGGATGTTCTTCTATGTTTCTTAGCCATGTGAGATTGTTTTGTTATCATATTTTTACTCTTTAAACTTTTGGGATGCTCTTCTATGTTTCTTAGCCATATGTGATAGTTTTTTTAAAAAAAAAATTAAACCAAATGACATCATTTGTTATGCGTTTTTTAAGCCCAATTTTATTTTTTTTGATTATAGTTATAATTATATTTATTATTTAATATGTTTTACTTTAAATATTATGTTATGATTTGAATCATTTTGTTTCATTTGATTTTATGATTTTTAATTTATATATGTTATGACTTATGATATTTTTATACCTTTTAATATTGTAAACTTAAAAAGTTATATATATATATATATATATATATATATATATATATTAATATTGCTTCGAATATTATGTAAAATTAAAAATTATTTTATTTTATATAAATCCAGTTCAACCGCGGTTGAACCAGTGAACCAGTACCTTCACCGGTTCAAGTCCGGTCCGATTTTAAAAACATTGATATTTTTTTCAAAAAATATCTTAAACTTTACAAATCTAATATAATATTATTAGTTTTTTTAATTAAATACAATAATATATTCATTTTAATATTTTTTAAATATAAAAAATCTAAATTTAAATAATAATTAATTAATTTTATCTGATTAGTATGAAAAGTTAACAAAAATAGTAATTCAAACAAATCATGTGTAATAAATTAGAAAAACCACATTTTTAATTTAATATATATGTGATATGTTAAAAAATATGTGATAAATTACTGAAAATCAAAATTAATTTGGGTAAAAGTAATCAAATGGTCCCCGATTATAAGGTTTTATTTTGTTGAGCCCGTGATTATTAAAAATTACAAAATAATCTCTAACTATAGGACATTGTCTTGTTGAATCCCCTTACTATTAAAGTTACAAAATGATCAATCGTCTATTCATATGTTTCCAACTGTATTTTCCGTTAAAAAATTAGTGGTCGTATAAGTTGGACGTTAACTGTTGACTGAGATATGATAAAATTATATTTTAATGATGTCTACTGGCATCAACGTTGCTTTCAAGCACTGACTCGACGACATAATATTTCAAGTACTAGTTCGATGACATAATGTAAACGGAGAATCGATATATAAAATACAACTCAAATAATTTTAGGATCAATTTTTATCATATCTAGTTAACATGTTAACGTCCAACTCAGACGACCGTCATTTTTTATAAAAAAAAATAAGTTTCAAACATATGAATAGTCGAATGACTATTTTTAAAATTTTTAATAGTCAGTGGACTCAACAAAATAATATCCTATAGTAAAAGGATTATTTTAAAAATTTTAATAATTACAAGACTCAACAAAATAATATCTCATTTGTGTACTTTACCCGTAAAGTTTAACGACAAAGGAACTAGCTTATATTGTTTGTTAGCGTATAAAAATTAATTTATGGTAAAATTAAAATAGAAAAGTATTTATTTAACTTTCGTTAAAGAGTATTTATTAAATAAAAACAATATATTATAATTTGAATTTAAATTTGATAGAAGATTATAAAGAGTCCGAGCATCTAAAGTTGGATGGAGTTATGATGGTAACTCGAAACAAAAAGCACAAGACGACGTAATAAAAAATTCAAAATGGAAAATGAAAAAACGGAACACCAGAAATGTCCACATAGGTTTGCTTCGGGTAAGGACTTTTAAGTACATTCACTTATCTCTCTCCCAACAAGAAAACGATGCGTCTTAAAATGTAAAACTGAAAAGTTCTCTCCACACTGTATTCTTATATTAGTTTATTTTCCAAGAAAACGCTCCCTTCAACCAAAACAAAAGTTCCAATTCCCTGTTTCCAGAAATTTCCGGTAAGCTCGAACCCTACGCATAATCTATAATCTAATTCTACTAAGGAATAATGTGATGATTCCTTTGGATTCATTGAAATTGCATCTGGTTTTATGATTGGTTTACTTCTGTTTTTTGACCTTTGACCCATACATTAGGTAATCTTTTTTTATTAATCTCTGATATTGGTTTTAATTTTTTTCGGGATGAAATTTTGTTTCTTTGGGTATTGATCATAACTAAATATGGTTTTCTTTTGTATGCTACAATTTTAGTTATTGGCTATTTTTTCATGCTTATTGTATAATGAATGCCATTTTCTTTTTGAAAGGGTTGAGGCGATGCAATTGATGCATATATTGATGCTTGTAATTTTTTCACATATGTTGACTTTCGATCTCATAAATTTGAATATTATTATTATCCTAGGAATTCAAAGAGTGCTACTCTTGAGGTGTTGAAAAAGGGCAGATTTTTAAGATAATTTTTACTGACAATTTTAAGTATTAAAAAATGCAAAAGGATAGAAGAGTTGGTTCCTTATCTTTTGAACGCTCTAGGGTCTCTCCTTACCCGTGTAGTCCTAGGGGCAGGGATGCTAAGTAATGCCAACTGGAGATCCATTGGAATCAGGATTTGGATCAGTTGAGGATGTTAACGAGTGGGAGGATGCGAGGTGCCCCATTTGCATGGAACACCCACAATGTCGTACTTTTGCAGTGTTCTTCCTTTGAAAAGGGTTGCCGCCCTTTCATGTGCAATACAAGCTACCGCCATTCAAATTGTCTTGACCAGTTTTGTAAGTCATCGGTGTCGTCTCCTTCAACTGTTGTGTTACAGGAAATTCCTTTGGGAAACATGGCCTACTACTAGTGGTCGGAGGAATCCACCACCTTTCTACAATCAGCAAACTGAGGCTGGTAGTGATCTGCATCCAAAGCTTCTTTGCCCACTTTGTCGAGGAGATGTTTACGGCTGGAGTGTGGTAGATTCAGCACGTCAGTTCATGAATTCCAAAGTTAGGGGTTGTTCTTCTGAGACATGCGATTTCAGTGGGACTTATGGTGAACTTAGGAAGCATGCTAGTCTGCTCATCCTTTAGTCCGGCCAACAGAAGTGGATCCAGAACGACAGCGTGATTGGACTAGGTTAGAGCGCGAAAGGGATTATGAGGACATGCTTAGCTCAATCCAAGCTTTTGCCGGGGAAGAAAGTAATGGAGAAAGCTTTTCAGATCTAGAGGATTTTCGTTCTTGGTTGACTATAAATCTTGCATATTTGACACTTGCACTTGAGTTCATCAGTGATTCCAGAAGTACAGATGAAGATAGTTTTTGGAGGAGATCGGGGAGTAGGTGGTTTAGGTATGATCGAGAGTCTGATCATGGTCCGAGAGAGAATAGTAGTTCTATATCTGATCGAGCACTCCTTGGTTTCCTCAACAATGCTATGCCAGAAGAGAGACTTCCAGGCAGACATCGTGGCACTCAGGGCATTCTCCAATGGAGAAATCGCGGTTCAGCATCTGATAGAGTTTCCCAAGGGAGACGCCAGAGTTCGCAAGCTGACAGAACATGTCGTGGCCAAGGTGGATTGCGATGGAGAACGCCAAGATGGTACTCCAATAATGGGCAGTGATTGGAGCACGTTGTTTAATGATTCTCACTGTCGCAGGTACAAATGCTTTTTTGCTCAGTTTTAATATTAATTGTTGTTTCTCTAGCTGATTTTTATGTCCTTGTTCTTTTTTATGCTTTGTTTTTTTTACATTGCAGATGGAAACAAAAGCAGGAGGTAAGGTTCAGGGTTTAGTTTAGTCATGTTAGATTGCAAGTAGAAAGTGAAGTCCTTGTTATATCCCTATATTTTCTTTAATTTATTTGTCACAGAAACAATGTTTAATGTTAAAAGTATGTATTTCGTATTTGGAAATGTTATCTACTTTTGCAAAAAAAACTTCATCTGTTCCCTTGTGTTTTTTAAATTCTGATTATTTTCAGCGTGGGTATTGCTTAAAATGTTGTTGGAATTATTCTTATACTGGATCCCCTGTATCACGTGTATACAATTAGTGAAGCCTTATTGACTCTGTCAAACGCAAGCTAAGAATTAAAGCTTTGCTTGTCCTAACTTCACCAAGTATTGCATCAATGGCCTAGGAAACAATAACGACAAAATCCGGAAAGGAAAAATAACTCTCAAGTACATTAGAAGAAACATTATTGGTAGACACCCAGGTTCAGAAAAGAAAACTACTTGTGGTGTAACATATATGTCAAGATCCATGGCATCAAAGATGGAGGATTTATTGACTGATTTAACAGTAACATATATATATTATAATTGATATTCAGAGCTTGTGGGATTGGGCTGGTACAAGCTTATCTGAATGAAAATGGAGTTTTTGAGTTTGTTATGGTGATTCAAGCAGAGTAGGGAAGTTACTTTCTCTGATCATTCCGACTGCACAAGTATTCACATTTATTGTAGGCTACTACTATATTTGGAAGCTCTTTTGGATGCCACTGTGAAGATTGTGAATTTCCTTTTGGCAATAGTCAGGTTGGTATCTGTGATCAAGGAGAGCGGCTGCGATTCACTCTGTTTTGCAGCGGTTTCACCTCTCCTCACTGCTGATATTGTATCAAGCTCCACTACTACAACAAACTAGTCTATTGCGATTGACAACCTACTAAACTGAAAATTGCATTCTTTATTTTCAGAACATGTAATACGACATTAAGGGATTTTGCGAGGTTCTACTTATACCATATACCCCAGCAACCCATTTTGTTAACTATGTAGTTATACATATGCAGCTTCTTGTTCTCTCTTTTCCGCCATTATTGTTTAACTGTTGCTTCTCGTGCCACCCGCTTCAACTATATTCTGATGTCGTGCTACAGTTAACGGGTTCCCTCGTGCCCCAGCCTTGCTGTAAGCCAAATGCAGACCTCGTCCATCTCTTTCGGGACTGTGTAATGACCAATCCTGAACACCCAAATTAACCAACATATAAGCTGACGCATGTTTTGTTAATCAACAACGAACTAATTACTGTTATTGCAGAAGCATATACCCTTCATAGGTTTTAAATGTGAGGTTTCGGAATCCTGCTACACTCAACGAATGGGCAGATTTTTCTCCGTACTTGTAGGGGACATTATCATCACCTGCAACAGGGAGAGAATGTTTTCTAGAACGCCTATGAACTGTGAGATGAAGTTAGAGTATTTGCTTAAAAGGACAGCTGCATACAGGTTCCATGGCTAAGCAAAATCGGCAAGGATGCGGCGCGCCTCACGGCTTCATGTGATACTTCTATTTTGTTCCTTAAGCCCCTGCAAAGCATCACCTTTAGTTGTCAATTACTTGTGTTTTTGCATGGCAAAATGAGGTCTGAAACATGAAACAATTAGCGGGTGAGTTTGTTTGGAAAGTTAATCCAAAAAGACGTAATACCTAGAACCAGGAAGCCATCCACTTAGTCCGATAACCGCCCTTAGGTTGATGGGGTATGGGTTGCCATTTCCATACCTTCCAAGAGCATAAGCAGTTGCAGAGTAGACGGCCATTGCAGCACCCATGCTAAAGCCTCCGATACCGACCTTAACTGTCAAAACGAAACTTATATGATAAGTAAATGGTTAAAATTTGCTTCAAGAACCTCTACTTTTTGTACATTTGGAATGTGCTCCTATTTTGTTTCTAGAATTTTAGTCATCTACTTTTCATATTTAAAAACTCAAGTCCAAATGTTAGCATTGTTAATTTTTCTCTTAAATTTGTTGATGCAGTACTTTTAAATAGAAAAATACTAACATGGAAGCCATAATAAAAAATGGCATTGTGCATTGTGATGGACTTCAAATATAAATCTGAAAATTATAGGGATTAATCTCCAAATATAAGAAGAGTACAGAGTTTTGAAGCATTTTAAGCTAAGTAATTTTTTCACTTAAATGTATCTGGAGCAAACTCAAGGCTAACCTTTGGGTTCAAGTTAAAGCATTTTATTTAGTTATTGTATGTTAGTTTCTAGTAATTTTGTTGGCAGATGGTAAAAATGGAGTCTTTAAAATACCATCAGATGGTTCTGTTGACAACAAGTTTGCAATATGTGCTGCAGAAGCATCTAAACCTTCCCAATCATCCGGACCATCTTCTGAGAGTTCACCATCATCAAACCCTGTTGCAGCCATTTTAAATAATTTGCATCAGTGCCAAAGCATTCACAAGGCTTTAGTTACAGGAAATTAAAAACAAAATGGTGCTTATTTCAAAAAGCAGATGATGGAACCAAAGTATCATCTTACATGCAGTGCAAGGAAATCCCCCTAGTATGGCCACCGGACGAGTGGGAGCTGTGGGGCAAATCCATTTTATCTGACGCATAGAATCAAGATGAATACATGAGAATTGTTATTATACGTATGTGGAAATGGATATGAGAATATAATCTTTCAAGAATTCTCCAAATACATAAAAATATTCATGTCAAGAACATAACTGATTCCGATGTTTTGCGCACAAGTCCGAGTAACATAAAAGCAATGAGTGTTTTGATTTATAAAAGCATACTTACATTTGGAAGAGGAAGACTTTCCAACAGCTGGGACCAGCTGCAACAAAACGAGAATAAAGATTATGATAGTATGCTACTTTTTTCTTCTTCTTAATTATAGGGGAAAATGCAGTATGTAAAAATGCAACAGGAAATAAAGCTTCTTTAACTTTTACTGGGATGAGCTGAGAAAAAACAGTGTTACATTGAATCAACAATTTGAGCTTTACTGCATTGGGAATAAATAAAGAAATCCAGGAACGCATATAATACTATATAAAAATGAATATCCTATTCGTGAAAACGATAAATTAGGCATGAGAATCAAGCAAATCTGTGGGCCCCCAATATGTGAACATGGAATGTACTCTTTTTCACATTTAGGGGATTTCCTCAAATTAAGCTTAACATTCAGAGACGTATAAGGAAGAATAATACAATGGTTATTACTATTATAATGATTTCACAGCTGCACGGCTTTCTTCATCCAACTTATTCCATTTTAAGAGTCCAATGAAAAGAAAATTCAACAACTCAACAGTGAAGAAGAAAACATTGCATGATATGGCCCGCTTCTACATGCAAAACATGCCAAGATGCTGACATCCACAAACATGGCATGATACATGGTTTTTGCTTGAATACTAATTGGATAGCATGAAACTGTATGTCTGTATCCATAAGCTTGTCATTTTGGGGATTGGATAAGCTGAACAGTTAAATAGTCTCCATTCAATGAATGAAGTTTACAGAAACAGTGATTGACAGACATGTTGCTTCAGAAGATAATTTCTAGTAAAGTGACGAATGCAAGGGTTTGTAAATCAAAAGATGGGTTTGATAATGGAAAAAGGAAAGTTTACCTTGAACCGTTGTCACCAAGGCCATGAAGCCAGACGATAGTTGCCTGGTGTTTTCCTTTTGGTCGAACAACATGTGTCCTTCCAAACTCGAACGTCTTTCTGGTAGTTCTACTACCTGCAAAACGGCATCAATAAAAAGGCAAGTTCAAACAACATAAGCATTACAAGAAAACTAGTAAATGAATCAAGAAAACAACAAACCAGATCCCATGGCATGTTGTGAATAGCTCATGTTTTTGTTTTCCGAGAAAATGCCCAAGCTTTGGTTAATAGTGCAGTGAGTTGATACAATGAAGAAAAACCCAGAAGGGTGTTGGGTATTTATAAGCAAGGGGAGCGGTGTGAAAATGGAATAAAAAAGGTGAATATTGAGCACGACAGGCTACTACACATTGCCTAGAAAACTCAAAAAAAGGAGGGAGGGGAAGAGCATAATTGAAAAGGAAAGGGGCAAAGACAGTGACAAAAGCAAAAGATCTTTTGAATAGTAGAGAGAATCCAAGCAGAGCAGAGCACTAGCACAATCCATCATCCCATCCCTTAATAATGATTTACAACATAGAGGGGAATCTATGCTTGTAGGCAGTGGCCAAAAATATAAAGCAAAGCTCCCAGAAACAACTCAACAGAATATACTGAAAACAAGTGGGGAAAAAGAATAATCTAAATTTCAAAAACATAAAACAAAATGAAAAAGATAATCAATCATTTGTTTATGAATTCTTTGATGATTTGAATGATACCCCATTAAGCATTAAAAAGTTTATAAAGGTTTCAACTTCCACATACGTACACATTATTGGTATAAATGGAAAATATACTGCAAGGACCCAAGGACAAGGGTTTCATTTTCTTTCTCATTTCTTCAAAATTATTTTAAAAATCTTCTCATTATATTAAAAGGTTTCATTTTTCTCGTGATTCACGAGTAGATACAAATGTATACACGCATACAAAAAAAAATATGTATAAATTAATTATTTCCTTTTTTTTGGGAATCTTTTAATATATTTGTTAGGTTTATCAACCAGAATATCTTTGTGGAAGAGACAGAAACAAGAGAAGCATGTGATTCCTGGCATCCTCTTATCTTCCTTCTCTGCCTGCCACCATGTTTGCTCAGTTCCCACCATAAAAGTTTTATTTGTGTTTATATCTATGGGGAACACCATAAGTACTAAGCACATAGTAATTTCAAAGCTGCCTTCGTTGTTATTCTTCGTTACACATTTAGTTGACCATATTATGTTAAGTACCCACCATTGAAATGGTCTCATATTATCCGTTCAGATTAGTGACATCGTCTTTGAAATCCGTATTGTTCCATTACTTTATACCTTACAAAATGCAGCTTCCAAGCAAATTCCAGTTTCGTGATATCCATTTCATCCAATGCAATCCCTATATAGTCATACATGCACTCATCTTACTTATAATCTTCATGCCATCATTCATTTTTGGCCTACTGAAAGCTTTATACTCGGGAGACAACATGCAAACTGAGTTTAACTGGTTCACTGAAAGGGAAACATATTGCTGACATGGCAAGCTATAATTGGCTGTGGGGGTTGAATGGTGGCATCTCATTAACTTTTTAGGTCAACTTTCAGTAATTTTTTTTCCATATTCTGTGGGGGAGAAGAAAATTTAGGCCAACTTTTTCATTGTCAACTCCTTGACCTCTACCAGCTACCGCTCACTCATTTGGAGCAAGAATCATTCAATAATATACACACTCATTGGAATGATACTTAATCTTTTGAGTTTAGTTGATTCATTTTTTGGATTATTATAAGTGAAAAACAACATATGCTGTTGGCACTACCTCTGCGTGTGGCCTAATTTATTGCTAAGATAACAAAATAAAGTTTGCTTAAGTACTGATGTTTATAGGTATCGGATAACGCTTTATTTACTGTATTTGATTTGAAAACTTGAAAAAAAAACAGTGGTTTAACCTCACGTATTTAGGAGAAGCTGGTGCTGTCATATTTAATTTGATGATATATTTTTGAAACTGTGCAGAGAGAATAGCTATACATATAGGGTGCTATAGATTAAAGAACATATGGTGGAATAAGGAACATAATGTGATTATAATATAGAATGAACAAGTGGTGATGGTTGTCTTTCATTAGCTTGATGGAAAAGACTAGCCATTTGAATCACCCCAATATGGTTGAATTGATTCAACACTTATTGAAATTATAAGGAAAATGAAGAAGTTATACCATTCCTATTAACTAATGCCTATAATTATTGGAAAACAGTTGTACATTTCATAACCATAAAACATACAGTAAAAGGGTAACTGCAATTCTTCTTCTCTTAGGTCTGATTAATAACAGAATTAATCAAGAACCTATATTTTAGACTCGTTTGTTTTATAACGCTTTCAAACAACATATTATATTCTCTTTTTTTTTTCCTTTAGTTTTTATGTTTGTTCGAGTATTCGTATATGTTATATATCTAAAATTATGAATATATCAAAGTATAACCCTCTGCATGTATATATGAATACTCGAGTAACGTAGGATAATCTAGTGTAAGTACTTAAAATATGGTCTTGATAAGGGGCAATTACATAAAATATTATCAAATTACATAAATTTATAAAGTTGTAATGATTACGTAATATTCTTTTATTATAATCATATTTTAAGTAAAGATGGAAAAAGACGGTTATCATGCATGCATGAACACTATGCATATATAACTATAGAAGGAATAGAGTAGGGTTTCCTTTCTTCTTTCTTACTTTAATGCGTAAATGTACAATCTGCATTTAGGAAATAATTTAATTAGAGAATGTAGGTTAAAGATAGTGATTGACGGGACAAGCAAACCTGAAAAAATCCTAACGACTGCGTTAAGACCATTTGATAATAAAATCCTTGTTCCTTTATATATATGTGGAAAATTCCAGTTATATGATCGTAGAAAATTATAAAATATGAGCACAGAATTCAACAAAAATAAGTAAAATTAAATTGGTTATATAAATATAAGTCTCTTTCGAATATATAGTTGCGTCCATCTGTAACTCCTTCGTTCCCTCTCCCATTCTTGAATATATTTCAGTATTGGAAGAGAGAATTAGAAGCTCCTAATAATTGGTAGGAAAATGATGGGAATTTTGAATCTAATTCTGCTTTTATCTTTTTCTTTGTTGTGATTTCCACCGAATTAATGTTAATAAAAGTTGTAGCAAAATCCTATGAGGAAAGACGTTTAGAATACACGTCGCATAGAATTTATCGGACATCATTTTGGGTTCCAAGAATATAAATGTCACTAATTCCTCATGTTTCATTGTCGTGTCCCCATCTTTTGGATGCTTTTTGTTTCGTTGTTTTTAGCCAGTAATTATGCACGTTTTTACCCAGGGAAGAAAATTTATTTTGTTTTAGTGATCTCAAAGGTTTAACAATGCTGATTAAAAAGTTGTAAAATAAAATTAATTTACGTTTAAAAGGTTAACTGCAATTAATATGATCCGTCAAATAAAGCGGAGTTGGCCATGGAAAGATTCATACATCTTCAGCAGGATATAAAATCGTACGTGAGATGACAATTTCCAGCTTACAATAACACTGATATGAGGCGAGGGAATATATTTTGGGTACAAAAACCAAATGGAGGATCTCGCAAGAAATTATCCGTGGATTTCATTCAGGTTCAATTTCCAAAGTAACACCATCGAAACCAGAATAATAGTTTTATGATTGTACATAACACCACCAAGTTCCTTTCATGAAAGAATATGGAAGAAGATCCATGGTTCAAAATAATGACCAACCCTTCATCCCACAAGGAAAAAGCCGTATCATCTCTCGCAAGAACCGCTTTTAGAGAATTTGAAGGCATACTGCATACTGGATCTTCTTCTCCAATTTTATTCCAAAAGGAACAGCTGAAAGTTGCAATTAATGATGATCGTCCATCCGGAGGTCTTTCACGACCTACAACTTCCGGCTGCCAAATGCCAACGGAAATAGTTAGGAAATCTGATAATGCAGGAGACAACCGAATTACATTGTTGTGCAGGTTAAACACGGGTGGAAGCATAAGAATGTCATTTCATTCGTTTTACCTAATTGCTTTACAAGGCAATAGACTAAGGGCTCGTTTCATTTTAACGCACGACGCACCCATGGAGCGCTGGAATCTCAGACTCTTATAACATGAATTCCACTGCCGGTAACAAACTATCAGTACGGTGAAAGCTGTTTGAGCACACTTGGGGGGTTAATTTTGACTGAAGGTGTTGATTCCAGTACCGGAGAAAATGCACAAGCAATGGTTAGTACAGCATTGAAACGAGTTTGGAAACAGTACAAATTACAAACTAATGCACCTGCTAACATCTTTCGGTATATAATTTACTTACATTATCAATTACCAGATCAACCGGCGAGATATAAATAATATCATGATCTATCAACATCAGCTAAAAGATAAACCATCTAAATTGAAGCGTAAAAAAACACAAGCACTTGAAGCTATGTAGATAATCACGTACAAACAGAATACAAGAACGAATGCAAGTAGAACATAGTAGTAAAAAAAAGGGACAATTTTCAGTATTTCAAACTTCCATGTTAGATAAATACACACGGTCAAAAACAAAGTTGTTTCATTGTAATACACATTGAAAGACATTACGTACTAACCTTTGTGCCAAAAGGACCGTCAGGATTGTTTACATCTTCAAGGATTTTCTTTCCGTAAACAAAGTAGGCCAAAAAGAAACAGAACGTCAAATTTAGCCACGATGGTTACAACTTACAACAAAATACTCGACAATTTGAATCTTCAGTAACATCACAAAAAAGTTCTCATATTTATAACCAAACATAAACACCGGAGGAGAAAATATCACCTCAATCTCAGCAGCAAGCTCCTCGCGCTCATGTCCAGTGGCCATAGGCATTACATCCTCAACCCTCTTTTTGTGGCCTCGACTTGTTTTGAGAATTATTGGACCACTGATTTATTAATTTTATCAATGATTTGCAATAGTTTATTTTGGTGGTAAAGGAATTAATTCGAACGCTCAACCTAGTCACAGGACCTGAAATCATAGAAGATGAAATTGTAAGCCTTTCTTCCTTCCATAGAATCGATCATACCGTAAACTATGCATTATCATTTGTTGGTAGCTATAGTGGTTTTGGGAATAATGCTCTTTAATTGTAGCGATGCATTATTTTGAGCAGAGACGCGGAGATGGAAGTTGTGGAATTGCGACCAGATTTTCCAGAGGGCAGAGATAAGAAAGCTTAAACATGATGATGATTGAAATTTATACTTTCTCAGAATCTCATGAC